ACCACCAACACCCGCCAGATCTACCAAAAAATCAGATACAGAACCGCTAACACATCACCCATAACAACATTAGCAAGTTTAGCAACTGAAACCGTCTCAATGAACTCTGCCCCAGTAGAATATATACTGAACTGAATCACTGCCACATTGCCAACCATGAACCACCACTACACTGCCAACCATGAACCACCACCACAAAATCACAAAATCACTGTCAACCATGAACCACCACACTGTCGCTTCCACCGTTGTGCTCTCCTAACGTGCCGTCGGCTGCTGCGACTCGCAGCTGTGAATCACTGCAGCGATTTACAGCAGCAATCGCAGCTGCGACTGCTGCTGTGAATCGCAGCAGCGATTCGCATCACTGCTGCGATTCACAGCAGCGTCGAGGCTTTGCTCAGCAGCCCCTCGACGCTGCTAGGGAGAGGGGAGGGGAGATTTCAGAGAGAGAGAGGGGGAAGGAGAGGCAAGAGGGAGAGAGGAAGGTGAGGGAAATTGAGTGATAAATTAGGATTATGTTTTATTATATAATACCTGATTTTTGAATGATAAAAAAATTCCAAACTTTAAGCACCTGGAACTATGTAATTTTCCCTTGTTTTAATTAGGCCTATAACCCGTCAATGATGAGCCTAAAACCCGTACACCATCCCGCGTGTGCTAAAGTGAGCTCCCTAGGCGTAGCGTATTGAATTCACAACTCGTACACCCTCACTGTTAAATCAATGAGTCAACACCAACGATTCACACCTATACATGCACCTATAGATACAAATCGTCTCTCGAGCTGTAATTTCACAAAAAGTTCCCAGAAATATGAAATTCCTCTAATGTTCGATGGAAACCCTAGCCCTAGCCCTAGCCCCAATAGGCTTACTAAAATCGTCCAAATGCTGCCTTCGTTCAATTTTATATGCTAAATTCAATCTCTCTTTCTTCTTATCCGGTGATTAGTTAATAAAACCCCGATTTTATTCTCGTGATCATCAGATCAAAATATTTGGTCCTTTCTGTTTTCCCTATTGTTCCTTTCCTTTTTCCTAATTTTTATATTGTTAATAATTAGTGTAGAGATTTTATTTTCCGTTATGCATCTGTAGAATAATTTTGTTGAGTATAAAAAAATAATAAAACAGGAAAATAATTTTTTTCCCGGTTTTATATGTAAATTATATTTATACATTGCATGATTTGCATCCCATATATGTAAAGAGTGAGAGGGACAAGGACAGAGAAAGATGGGGAGTTCGGAAACTGGAGTGGATTGCAGCGCGGGGAGTATAGTGTGGGTCCGGAGGCGAAATGGGTCTTGGTGGCCAGGAAAGATAATAGGAACAGACGAGCTCTCCGCGTCCCATATAACGTCTCCACGGTCTGGAACTCCAGTTAAGCTTCTTGGAAGGGAAGATGCCAGTGTGTAAGTCTACACGTGAACGCAAACTCGTTTTTTGGTTGACATTTTTTTAATTACATTCGTTGTTGTATAGCTATGATTTTTGCGGCTGCTGTGCTTATTGTTGTATTTATGTGGAATTATGTTTCTTTAATAATTGTTGGCCCGAATTAAATTTTAATGAACAAGACAAGGAAAACAAAATTGCTGAAATTTGACATAGATGATTTGAAATTTATTGCAACAATTTTGGCCATGCTTCGGCAGCGCATTATTTGCTGTTTGTAGATGGGGAATATCCTTTGATAAATAACTTGGTCTGTGTGTAGTTTTTTGATGCTGCTTAAACAAATATTCTAGACCAAAGGATATAGAAGTCATATGTGTAACTTGTCTGCTTGCTTATCATCTTTGACTGATTAATAATCATTTCCAGTTAGTATCTCTTATCCATGCTTTTTAAACACGTGCAAAATGGAAGATCTTGAAATGTTAACTGTTGTGCATAATTGGGAATTCTTGGAAAGAATTCATGTGTTAATTGCTCTAATTTATAAAATGTTTTTAATCCTTGTGTAGTTTTCACAGCTCACACCATGAAGAGGTACATCTCCATAATTTTTTTCACTTTGTTTTAGATCAATTGAAAGATACTTTTCTCTTTCTACCAAGATATGAATGTGAGACCTGGGCTCCCTTTATTTTAGTTAAAGATTAAAGGTGAAGCTTCCAAGAATCATTGACTCAGCTGCCTTAATGGATATACTAATATATTTATCGAATTTATTTTCATTTAAAAAATAAGTTACTTTTTTTATTTTGGGTGCTATCTTCAAAAGTTGCTGCTGCTCTTGTCTTGGTTTTGCACTCCCCTCCCCCTACCCCTACCCCTACCCCTCCCCCTCCCACTCATACTCTCACTTTGGTTTTAGTAGGTTGGTGTGAGGTGTATTGTTTCTGTGGACATTTGAATAATGAATTTTCAAGCTTTAGTAACTGAATTAGCCAATTAGGATTTTAGCTGATTCATGTCGTGTTTTGCTTCTTTTATCTTACTTTAGCAACTTTGTTGAAGTTATAACAGCTTATATTTAGTACGAAGATGAAGCCTGTCATTGATTAGAATGTTTGTTGAAGACTGATATCAGGTGATATTGTATTGGTTTAGGACTAGGGACATTCTCTTATGCCACATAGACACACACACACACACACATGGGGTAGATGGAAGAAGATGCAAAAATTGAATAATTAAGGATAATGTGCTTAGATGGTAAATTGGAAAACAAAAGTAAAATTAATGGGAGTGGAAAGATGTAGAATTAATATGACTTCAACTTATAACAAGTTAGAGGAGAGATGTATGCCAAAACTAACATGGTCTGGTGTGGTTGCCAAGGATCGTTTTGCTTTGGATATTCTAATAGATTTAGTGGAATGAATAGAGTGACGAAAAAGTATTCATGTAGCCGACCCTAAATTTGCAGGGAAATACTACTTAGTTTTTTGTAATGGTTGAAAGATGCAGTCCACTCGACCATCTTTACAGCAGCTATACCAGGTGTTCTTGTCGTGAAGCTTGTTTTCTTGCTCATAGATTAGGCCTTCTAGGGAGAGCTTGAAACTTTTTGTATTTGCATCTTCCTTTAGGGTATTAATGTTATAGAATACCTAAGGGACTACTGGAATGATAATGAAAATGAGATACAGAACTTTACTAGAACGGCATGAGGAATATATTCACTGGAAAATGGTGGTTCTAGATGGCAAAGGCCTTAATTGGGTGTGTAGAACAATATAAGTGGATGGCATAGATATAGTTGAAAGTTAGAAGACAAGAAAACCTCTGAGCAGAGCAAGTGGTATTTGGGGAAATTTCTCTCTATTTGCAGAGTTTTGAGGTTTTGAAACTTGTTTTCCTCCGTGTTTCAATGATTATAGTCCCATAAAATTCATGTCCATTGTTGAGATGTTAAAGGCCCGTAGACTTCGCCGTTTTGTGAGTTCATTCACGAACTAAATGGAAGGTCCATTTGAGCACAAATCTGATACACAAATGGTTAGAAATTTAATTCTTAAAGTCGCCCAAATTCTAGAAGTGGGGTTCCCAATTGTTTGAATAATTTTCTGTAACTTCTATAATGAACATAAATAAATTGTCATAGCTGATTGTGCTGCCATTTGCAATTTATTATTTCCTGTAGAATATGAAAGTCAATGGTTCTCATAATAACTAATCATTTTCTTAGTTAATATGTTGATGTACACAGTAGAAATCATCATTTGCTAGTTCTATCCGCTCAGCTGTTTATATGTTACAATGTTTCTGGCTATATGTACTCCCAGAGATTGGTACAATTTGGAGAAGTCTAAACGTGTGAAGGCTTTTCGATGTGGCGAGTTTGACGAGTGTATAGAAAGGGCTGAAGCTGCCCAGGGCATGCCTCCAAAGAAAAGAGAGAAATATGCACGTCGGGAAGATGCAATCCTCCATGCTCTTGAACTTGAGAGGCAAATATTGGAGAAAAGTGGGAAAGTGGGTTTTGCTTTTAACGATAGGAACAAGAAGTTTGAAGATGTCACTTCTTCAGGTCACTATGAAAATGGAAGTGGAAATCAGATAGATCCCAGATCTCTTCAAGTTTCTGAGAGGTTTGGTAGGACAGTTGCAGAGAACCATGTGGCAAATCATATGCACGGAGATAAAGAAGTCAGAGAGGGAAATCAACTGAGAGGAGATGATGATAATGCTGGTGTACTACCCCGGATGAGAGGATTGCAGGATGTTGGTCTTCAGAGTGCTCTGCCAATGCATAAGCTTTCTCCTGCGGTAGCTTTAAATGTTTCTCCGAAACCTCCTGTTGTTATCAGCACTCCTACACTCCCTAACGATGCTTTTTCAGCAGATTATAAAGTTAACCCCAACATTGAAAATATGTCAGACAATAGGAAAAGTTTGGGTGAAAGCTTGCCTGACGAATCCATTGTCAAGAGACGTGACAGGCAGCGCCCTCTTATTCAAGTACTGGAAAAGAGTGCAAAATTACCAGTTCCAGACTCTCAGCCTGACGATGGTTCTGTTACTATCAATGATTCAGAAGAGGGGCTTCCAGGATTGTTGTTCAGTGCGAAGAGGGGCAGTAGTGCTTATCTAACAACCGATTCCGATAGTTATTTAAATAATCATGGAATTCGTTGCTCTCAGATAGAAACTTCAGTTTCCAAGTTTGAAGAAAGTGATAAGCCACATTCTGCTGATCATGGCGAAGAGCACACTTCTGGGTCCACAGAGGATACTGAAACGGATTCTTCTGAGACTGATTCTCTGGAATCAGATTCGGATGACGAGATGACTGCACTCTCAGGTTAGATTCTGTCTATTTGCATTTCCTTTTGAGCCAGCATCATTAATTCTCTCATACAATGGCATGCTTAATTTGTGCTCACTATCATTCTTTCAGAAAACCATGCATGGCCGTCAGCCTAAAGGGGCCTATCAGTTTTTCATTCTTCTCTGGACATGTTTGTCATTGCGTCACTTACGTCAGTCTTGCCTGCAACCTGCATGATTTCTTTTTTGATAACCATGAAATTACACGCCTGTTTGGTTTAGATTAAAATCAGTTTTTTAGTAGATTTTGTTGAAAAATTGATAAAATGTGTGCTTGAAAAGTTTATAAAAGCTTTGGGTCATATAAAATGTTTGGTTGAAAATGAGTGAGGAAAATAGTTTTAGAATATGGGGCCAAATAGGGGCTACATTTCTGTATTATCTTTTAAGTGAATTTGGAGTCGGCCAAAACCTTGTCACCGTAGTTCCCCCCCTTGGGTGATTCGCTTAATATTAATACATGGCTCAAATATGACCTGATATTATTCCTTTATGCATTCATGATGATCATCAGACAACTGAATAAGCATTTTATCATCCAATATGCATGACACTGTACTGTAAGAGTTGCCCTGTTTATATGAAATCATTGTTTGTCTTTGTTACATTACCCATTGCTTGTTCTGGTGATTATGACTTTATTCTTGTTTGTGGGTTCCTTCCACCAGTGAGAAGAAGGGGGGATTTGGGGGTGGGGGGCTTTGAAAGGAGAAAATGCCTTCTTTTGTGTGCTAACTAAGGGTTTTGGTATCCAGATGGTTCTGCGTCTGTAGAATTACAACCCAAATATCCAAGAAGAATTGAAGAACAAGGAAGCATGAGCAGTGACGACCTTGATGAACTGGGATTTGGAGATGACACCCCTCGTTCTTTTCGCAACAACCCACTCTCGGCTAGCATGGGAGTGTCCAGGTGGCAGCTGAAAGGGAAAAGGAATAACCGTGGTCTTATGAAGAGGTCTGATGCAGAAGTATCTGAAGGATATATACATCGAAGAAAGTCAAATTGGAGCAGTAGTGGTAAAAAATCTGATTTGATTGAGAGAAGTTTAAGGACTGGCATACCTGGATATGGATCTACATGTCTCCCAGATGGCTTGGCTTGGAATGATCAGTCGTCCATGAGAGGATATTGGGACGATTCTCTCGATCCATTATCTGCTCAGCATCATTTTGGTGGAGGGACCTTGTTGGATGTGGATTTGAAGGTTCAGGCGAACAACTACCGAAGAGACGTTCCTATTATCTCAATGCAGAGTAAGCTAAATGGACATGCTATAATAGGGCACCCTATCCAAGTTGAAGCTCTGGAAAGTGGTTCCTCAGAAAACCTTCTTCCTGCAACCGATCATTTTTATCCTGAAACATCAGAGAATCATACGGCGCTTACACCCGTATGGAGGACTGCTCGTAGGACTGCCAATTTTCGGGTTCCGCGTCCACATGTGTCCTCGGCAATGAGTAGTGAGAGTAAACCAGATCTCCGAATTGTTGTTGACCAAGACAAACAAATCCCATTTGGACACCCTCAACATTTGGAAAATAGATTCCCAAGAAATTCACCAAGGAAAATTAGTCCGTCTTCCAACCAGAAGACGAGAACACTTTCATCGATTGCTTCAGAACCGAAACATAGTATTGATCAGAAAGGGGGAGGCAACAATTATCAAGCAGGCGGGCTGATGAAAACCCAGGACGCGCCAACAACTGTAGCTTGTATACCTGTTAAGCTGGTATTCAGTAGGTTACATGAGGAGTTGGACGGGTACCATCAGTAATGAAGTTCTGAATGCTGATGATGAATGCGAAATAATAGAACAGTAATCACCATTAGCCTTGTATAAATTCTTAAGAGTAATAATCATATTGACCCCCAGATTCAACCTCTTTTCTTTGAAAGCCCCATGTATGTATTTGTTTTGGTCGAAAAACCTGTAGAACTACATGAGAGGGTGATACTTTGATGTGCTTTATGGATAGAAATACATAATGTAGATTTTATATAGATGAACACATCTTTGTTTTTGTTTCTCTTTTTAAGGAGTGAAAATTCTCTCTACATATTTCATGAGTGCTGAACCCTAATTCGCTCATTTGGGTTGTCATTCTAAATATTGGTCAAATGGAGTAAATAATTTTGATTTTGATTTTTTATTTCCAATATTTTTAAACTGAACCGTGAGTCTATCTTAAATTTATTGGTAATGAAGCATCCGTTTGTTTCTCATTTTTTATCCATAAAAATGAAAAATATGATCGTTTTCGATCACATCAAGTCGTCAATTTTGAATTCCTATCTCTAGTGTGGAGTTCAATAACGACTATATTTTTCACTCTCATTCTACAATAATGAGAATCAAACGGGCCCGAAGTCTACATTGGAAGAGGTTCGGAGTTTGAATTCTCTTTTGGAATTTTCTGTATTTAAAAGTTAATTTTTGACGTGTTCAAGATAATATTGACATATATGAGATAAAATTCTAGCTCAATTTGAAGGAAATTACGTGAAAGCTTCGCATGTATAATCAATATGAAGCTATGCAACTAAAAGTCGATTCCAACTATTGAAATTGTATAGTAACATAGGTCTTATCCGGGAAACTACACAATAGCTTTGGAATGTCATTTCTAAACACTAAGGTGAAATCAATCATTTCTAGAAAAAGATGGCTAATTAGGGTCCATTTGATTGTAATGGTGGAAAATGGGTGGAAATAAAATGTTTTACAGGGAATTAATTTTCCGAGTAAATATTTTACTGGGAATTGTAATTAATTGTGTTTGATTGGTATAATTTTCCATGGAAAATGTTGAAAGTTTGGTGTCCATTTGGTTTCGTTTTTTTATGGAATTTCTCTATTAAAGTGATAATTTTTTCTACCATTGGGTCTAAAATTTGTTCCAATTATAAAAAAAAAAAAAATTGAAAAAAAAAAAATTTATCATACCGAATATTTTTCGTTTGACTTTGTTTTGCATGGAAGTTGTCAATAAAAGTGAATTTTTTTTAACCATTATATGTAGAATTTGTTCCCATTGCAAACAACAAAAAAAAAAAGGTGGAAAATTTTTTCCCACCAAATAGGTGGGAAAACAAAATCAAGTTTTTGTACATCAAATGATTGTACCTAGAAAAATGTGAAAAATGTTTTCCTA